AATGAGTTTGGGAGTATTCCTTCCTCTGCAATTTTTTGGAAGAGTTTGAGAAGGATGGGTGTTAGCTCTTCTCTAAATGTTTGATAGAATTCACCTGTGAAGCCATCTGGTCCTGAACTTGTGTTTGTTGGAAGATTTTTAATCACAGTTTCAATTTCATTACTTGTGATTGGTCTGTTCATATTTTCTATTTCTTCCTGGTTCAGTCTCAGAAGGTTACACCGTTCTAAGAATTTGTCCATTTCTTCCAGGTTGTCCATTTTATTGGCATAGAGTTGCTTGTAGTAGTTTCTTAGCATGCTTTGTATTTCTGCAGTGTCTGTTGTAACTTCTCTTTTTCATTTCTAATTTTATTGATTTGAGTCCTCTTCCTCTTTTTTTGATGAGTCTGGCTAATGGTTTTTCAATTTTGTTTATCTTCTCAAAAAACCAACTTTTAGTTTTATTGATCTTTGCTACTGTTTTCTTTGTTTCTATTTCATTTATTTGTGCTCTGATTTTTATGATTTCTTTCCTTCTACTAACTTCGGGTTTTGTTTGTTCTTCTTTCTCTAGTTCCTTTAGGTGTAAGGTTAGATTGTTTATTTGAGATGTTTGTTGTATCCTGAGGTAGGATTGTATTGCTATAAACCTCCCTCTTAGAACTGCTTTTGCTGCATCCCATAGGTTTTGGATCATCGTGTTTTCATTGTAATTTGTCTCTAGGTATTTTTTGATTTCCCTGATTTCTTCAGTGTTCTCTTGGTTATTTACTAACGTATTGTTTAGCCTCCATGTGTTTGTGTTTTTTATGTTTTTTCCCCTGTAATTGATTTCTAATCTCATAGCATTGTGGTCAGAAAAGATGCTTGATATGATTTCAATTTTCTTAAATTTACTGAGGCTTGATTTGTGACCCAAGATATGATCTACCCTGGAGAATGTTCCGTTCGCACTTGAGAAGAAAGTGTAATCTGCTGTTTTTGGAAGGAATGTCCTATAAATATCAATTAAATCTCTCTGGTCTGTTGTGTCATTTAAAGCTTGTGTTTCCTTATTAATTTTCTGTTTGGATGATCTGTCCATTGGGGTAAGTGAGGTGTTAAAAGTCTCCCACTATTACTGTGTTACTGTCGATTTCTTCTTTTATAGCTGTTAGCAGTTGCCTTATGTATTGAGGTGCTCCTATGTTGGGTGCATACATATTTATAATTGTTATATCTTCTTCTTGGATTGATCCCTTGATCATTATGTAGTGTCCTTCCTTGTCTCTTGTACCATTCTTTATTTGAAAGTCTATTTTGTCTTATATGAGTATTGCTACTCCAGCTTTCTTTTGATTTCCATTTGCATGGAATATCTTTTTCCATCCCCTCACTTTCAGTCCGTATGTGTCCCTAGGTCTGAAGTGCATCTCTTGTAGACAGCATATAGAGGGGTCTTGTTTTTGTATCCATTCAGCGAGCCTGTGTTTTCTGGTTGGAGCATTTAATCCATACACGTTTAAGGTAATTGTCTATATGTATGTTCTTATGACCATTTTCTTAATTGTTTTGGGTTTGTTTTTGTAGGTCCTTTTCTTCTCTTGTGTTTCCCACTTAGAGAAGTTCCTTTAGCATTTGTTGTAGAACTGGTTTGGTGGTGCTGAATTCTCTTAGCTTTTGCTTGTCTGTAAAGCTTTTGATTTCTCCATAGAATCTGAATGAGATCCTTGCCGGGTAGAATAGTCTTGGTTGTAGGTTCTTCCCTTTCATCAGTTTAAATATGTCATGCCACTACCTTCTGGCTTGTATAGTTTCTGCTGAGAAATCAGCTGTTAACCTTATGGGAGTTCCCTTTTATGTTATTTGTCTTTTTTCCCTTGCTGCTTTCAACAATTTTTTTTCTCTTTACTTTTTGCCAGTTTGATTACTATGTGTCTCGGCGTGTTTCTCCTTGGGTTTATCCTGTATGGGGCTCTCTGCACTTCCTGGACTTGGGTGGCTATTTCCTTTCCCATGTTAGGGAATTTTTTAACTATAATCTCTTCAGATATTTTCTCGGGTCCTTTCTCTCTCTCTTCTCTTTCTGGGACCTCTAATAATGTGAATGTTGTTGCCTTTAATGTCCCAGAGGTCTCTTAGGCTGTCTTCATTTCTTTTCATTCTTTTTTCTTTAGTCTGTACCACAGCAGTGAATTCCACCCTTCTGTCTTCCAGGTCACTTATCCGTTCTTCTGCCTCAGTTAGTCTGCTATTGATTCCTTCTATTGTAGTTTTCATTTCAGTTATTGTATTGTTCATCTCTGTTTGTTTGTTCTTTAATTCTTCTAGGTCTTTGTTAAACATTTCTTGCATCTTCTCAATCTTTGCCTCCATTCTTTTTCTGAGGTCCTGGATCGTCTTCACTATCATTATTCTGAATTCTTTTTCTGGAAAGTTGACTATCTCCACTTCATTTAGTTGTTTTTCTGGGGTTTTATCTTGTTCCTTCATCTGGTACATAGCTCTCTGCCTTTTTATTTTGTCTATCTTTCTGTGAATGTGGTTTTTGTTCCACAGGCTGCAGGATTGTAGCTCTTCTTGCTTCTGCTGTCTGCCTTCTGGTGGGTGAGGCTATCTAAGAGGATTGTGCAAGTTTCCTAATGGAAGGGACTGGTGGTGGGTAGAGCTGGCTGTTGCTCTGGTGGGTAGAGCACAGTAAAACTTTAATCCATTTGTCTGCTGTTGGGTGGGGCTGGGTTCCCTCCCTATTGGTTGTTTGGCCTGAGGCAACCCAACACTGGAGCCTACCCAGGCTCTTTGGTGGGGCTGATGGCAGACTCTAGGAGGGCTCACAACAAGGAGTACTTCCCAGAACTTCTGCTGCCAGTGTCCTTGTCCTCACGGTGAGACAGAGGCACCCCCTGCCTCTGCAGGAGACCCTCCAACACTAGCAGGTAGGTCTGATTCAGTCTCCTGTGGGGTCACGGCTCCTTCCCGTGGGTTCTGATACACACACTCCTTTGTGTGTGCCCTCCAAGAGTGGATTCTCTGTTTCCCCCAGTCCTGTTGAAATCCTGCAATCAAATCCTGCTAGCCTTCGAACTCTGTTTCTCTAGTAATTCCTCCTCCCGTTGCCAGACCCTCAGGTTGGGAAGCCTGATGTGTGGCTCAGAACCTTCACTCCAGTAGGTGGACTTCTGTGGTATAAGTGTTCTCCAGTTTGTGAGTCACCCACCCAGCAGTTATGGGATTTGATTTTATGTGATTGCACCCCTCCTACCATCTCATTGCAGCTTCTCCTTTGTCTTTGGATGTGGGGTATCTTTTTTGGTGTGTTCCAGTGTCTTCCTGTTGATGATTGTTCAGCAGTCAGTTGTGATTCCGGTGCTCTTGCAGGAGGGAGTGAGCGTAATTTGAAAATCAGATAAGAACAAATGTTGGTAAAAACAGAGAGAAATGAGAACACTCGTACACAGCTGATAGGAATATAAATGGTGCAGCACCTTGGAAAACTATCTGGCAGTTCCTTAAATGTTTAAATATTGAGTTACTACGTGACCCAGGAATTCCACTCCTAGGTATACACCCAGAAGGATAAAAACATATGTCTACAGAAAAACTTGTACACAGATGTTTATAGCAGCAGTATTTATAATATCTAAAAGTTAGAAACAGCCCAAATGTTCATCAACTGATGACTAGACCAACAAAAGTGGTACAGCCATGCAATGGAATATTATTTGGACATGAAAAGGAATGGAGTACAAGGGACTTCCCTGGTGGTCCAGTGGTAAAGAATCTGCCTTCCAATACAGGGGACGCAGGTACAATCCCTGATCGGGGACCTAAGATTCCACATGCTGTGAAGCAACTAAGCCCATGCGTTGCAACTACTGAGCTCATGCACCTCAAGGAGAGAGCCCACGTGCCGCAGACTGCAGTGCCCACGCGCCCTGGAGCCTGCACGACACAATTAGAGAGGGAAAACCCAAATGCCACAACTAGAGAAAAGCCCGAGCGCCGCAACAAAAGATCCTGCATACCAAGCACCACAACGAAAGATACTGCATGCCTCAACGACCCGACGCAGACAAAAATAAAAAAGGAGTGGAGTACTGATACATGCTACCACATGGATGAAACTTAAAAACATTGTGCTAAGTGAAAGAAGCCAGTCCCAAGAGTCCACATATTGGTATGCAATGTTCAGAAAAGGCAAATCTATACAGACACAAGACAGTAGTGGTTGGCTACAGCTGGGAGGGAGGCAGATGGGATGGTGGGAGCATAATAGCTAAAGGGCATATATTTTTTTTAAGTGATGAAAGTGTTCTAAAATTGATGGAGGTAATGGCTGCACAACTCTGTGAATATACTAAAAACCATTGTATTGTACACTTTACATAGGTGAACTGTATAATGACTTATAACTCAATACAGCTGTTATTTAGAAAACCACCATTACTGAGAAAGATATATTAAAATCTCCTACGATTGTAGGTGGTTTATTTTCCTTGTTGTTCTGCCAAAGTTTGCTGGATATATTTTGAGTCCATGCTATTAGGTGCATACAAATTTAAAACTAATGTCTGGTTGATGAAGTGAACCTTTTATAAGTACAAAGTGCTTCTTTTTAGCTTTAATACCGCTTTTTTGTTGCAATGTCTGCAGTGTATTCATACTGGCTTTCTTTGTTATTTAAAAACAAAAAGCAATGATAAACCTTTACATATATACATCTCTGTGCACAGAAGCAGGTATAGCCGTACATTAAATACCTGAAGTACACTTGCTTGCTGGGTTAAAGATAGGTACAATTTAAATCTGACAGATGTCTCCAGGGTGTTCTCCAAAGAGGCTGCAGCGATCACATTCCCGGGCACCCCTCTGCCCGCCGCCCAGGGTATCGGAGCGCTCCTTACACGGACAACTTGAAATTTGAGTTTCTTTTGCTCTGTTATGAAGTGGTGAGTGAGCCTGCACTTAGGAATTGGATTAAAATTTTCCCACATGGTGAGCAGTCCCCGGGCTGGAAGGAAGCGCTGCTGGGAGACTCACCTTGCTGATCTCCATCAGGGACATGGTGATGCTGTAGAGCTGGTTCTTGCTGGTGCTGGCGATCAGCGTTTCCTCAGAGGGGCTGAAGCACAGGCAGAGCACGTCCTGTTTGTCTGACTGACTCGGGTCATTGCTCTGTGGGTCCACAGGAATCTGCCCAAGACACAGAACAGCGGTCAGCAATGCCCTCACATTGTCAGGGTGTCCTCGGGCTTTCAGATTCTCTCAGATACTGTAGCTTATTGACTCCTGACCATGCTTCCTGGATCCTCCTCAGATGTGGAGAAGGGAGGGCTTGAGGGGCCTCCGTTCCTGTGGGTTTCCCACTCACCTTTAAGTGATTAGTGGCTGAATAATAAGGCAGCAGCACAGGTGAAACGGATCCATCTGTACCTCTCAGTTTGAGATCCCCCCTCACAACCAGCGTTAGTCTAACCCCGACTCTCGCCCAGCTGTTGGGAGCCCAGTGTGGGCGCCCACCTGCATCAGGTACACAGTGTGTGCTCCACGGCAGTAGAGGGGAAGGTGGCAGCCCTTCTACCACGTGGAGTGGGTGACAGGGCAGAGAGAAGAGAAGGGGTCACACAGCTCCTGCAGTGGTCTCAGAGGGCCGGGAGTTCCTAGTGGAGGAAACTAGATTTCCTTTTCCCTGCTATTTCTCTCCTTCCACTAACAACCAAACTTATTGAAAGGCTGGTCTGCACGTACCATCTCTACTTCCCTACCACCCACTCAGTTCTTAATTCCTTATAATGTGGCTTCCACCGCATCATTTACTGAAACTGTTCTCATAAACATCACCAAAGCCTGATGTCCCTGCTCGGCCCTCATCTTCTAGGCTTTTCTAGAGCCTGCAGCAGTGACCTTGGCACCTTCCTCCCTAGAAGGCCCTGGCCTCCTGTGCTGCCCTGCCCCTGCCTGGAGTCCTGTCTTCCTATGTACCCCCTAACCCGTCCTCATGAAGTCTACTCTCACTGCCTCACCAGAACAGCAAGGGCTCTGGGAAGCCCTCCCTGACCACCCCGGGCTGAGTGGGCCCTGATGTTCCCTCAATGTGCTCACAGCACCCGGGGCTCCCTCTGCTGTTACATGCATCACACTGTATAAAGTAGAACGGGAGCCCGCAGACCGAGGACCATGTCTGTCCCCGCGTCTGTCTCCTGGTGCTTGGAGCAGTGCCTGACACATAGCAGGTGCCTGACTGTGCGGTGTGGCCTCACGGTCCTCCCCCAGACAGCGAGGTCCACGAGGGAAGTGCCCATGTCTGATTCACCCACCGCAGGCCACACCACAGAGCCTGGCCCATGATAGCTGCACGACGGACGTTTGTTGACTGAATGAGTGAAGGACGACACCTTGTCAGTGCCCTGCTGGATTCTCATCCCGTCTCAGTCTTGAAATTAGGAAATGCTAAGTTTTGTCCTCAGTTCTCTTTTTGGCTCTATATTTTCTCTCTCAGTGATTTTACCTAATATAAGGGTTCAGTGAAAACAATAGTAGTAAAGTAATTGCAATAATAAATACTTAAAATAGTATTGACTATGTGCCAGATACAAGCCAAGTGCTATGGGTGTGTGTGTGTGTGTGTGTGTGTGTGTGTGTGTGTGTGTGTGTGTG